TGGGGTGAGGGAGGGACGGGCTCCCAGTGGGGTGAGGGAGGGTCGGACTTCACCCCTGCCGGTGTGTATCACTGAGAAGCTGCCTTTCCCACTGCTCAGCAGTGACACACTTGTCAAAAGACACGAGCCCTGCTGTCCCCTTATGACCCCACTGGTCTACTGGAGTCTACCCTTACGCCAATGCCACACTCGTCCCCTTGGCATTGTAACAGGTGTGACACGAGGACAGCAAGTTCTCCACTTCATTCTTCTTCTTCAAACACTGGCCCTTCTGCCTCCTTGTGTTACCACACCCAGTTTTTGAAAAACTTAACGCTGTTTTCCAAGTTACACACACACACACACCCCTGTGAGGATTTTTATTAGGGTTATATCCTTCTTGGGTTCCTTTTCTAGAATGCTTTATAGTTTTCTGAGTATTTTTCGGGTGAGCCAACTTTTTAAAAACTATTGAGTGAGATTTGGGGTGACATTTGGATGCAGCAAGCTCACACAGGTGGCCTCCCAGAGTGCTCTCCGGGTGTCTTCCTTGGTGGCCCTGCTGTCCTGGCCTCTAAGGAGCTCAAGCTACCCCTCCGTCGGGTCCCTCCCCGGGTGCCCACTCCCCTGCCCACTCAGGTTGGCCCAGGGTGCAGGCCTGGGACGTGGTAACGCAGCGGGCACTGCAGTTCAGGCTCACCCCTCGGTGCCCAGCTCAGAAACCACCCAACCCTGCAGGCGCACCTGGCCGTGGGAGATTGCATCTTCAGGAGTAGTGTGTCGAGATGTCCCCACCCGAAAAGCCACACCTACGCTCATCCATGACCTTTATCAACTGCCAACAGGTGGGGAGAGATGAGGAAGGTCACTGTGACCCTGTCACCCCATCAACCCCGCCATGTTTTGCTGAGCGCCATCTCTCTTCTGGGCGTCTGGTACCGGCTTATTCTGGTTTTCAAGCTTGACATCATTTGAGTGTCGAGCTCTGCGTTCAACTTTTCTCACCTGATGCTACCACGCAGGACTTCCTCCTGTGACCCTGCATTCCTGGGATCGCGAGGCCTGAGGGTGACCATGCGGCTGTCCAGCACGAGCACCAGGTGCCAGTGTGGACAGGCAGCTAGTTCCCTTAGGGACTCTCAGCCTCTCCGCTGGTCCCTACAGATACAGACCCCGAGCACAGAATGGCTTCATGGCCTGGCCAGGACGCTCAGCGAGCTTCCCAGCAGGGCCCAGCAGGCATTCTGGGGGCTCTGCTCTTGCATTCTGGGGACAATGCTAGCTCCTGGGAGGCTCAGCCTGCTCTGTGGGCTCCTTCCTCTGAGCCAGAGGGGCTCTTCCTTCTGCAGCTGAGGAGCTCTGAATGAGTCTGGCCCCTCGTGATCAGCTCATGAAAAAGAACGCCTTTGCCCGGAGAAGACCCAGCGGGTTTGGAAACCAAGGTTTACAGGCAGGTTGTGTGGAAAGCAGCGCCCTCCCAGTCTGTCCCCAGCTGGAGGTCAGGGCCAGAGTCCTGGAGGAGCCTGGGGGTAGGGACCATTTCACCCAGGTATCCGCAGCGCCCCCAGCTCAGCGAGCACGCATTTTATGGGGTGCACCTGCTGGATGCTCCTGCAGCTGCAGGACCTGTGGGACCCGCCCTGAGGCACCGTACCAGGGAACCCGGCAGACCCTCCTTTGCCCACTGCCCGGGAGGCTCCCCACACAATCCAAAGCAGCAGCCCCTCCCGGGCGCCCAGGTGACCCCCCTCTGGCACAGGTGCCAATGGAGGGGCCTAGTCTATGCGGGGCTAGATTGGGGATAGGGAGCACCATGTGGAAGTCAAGCCCAGGCACAGTGGGACTGCAGGCTGCTGCTCAGGCCTGAGGATGCTGGTGCCCTGCCCTAACCCCCAGGCCCAGGAACCCTTCACTGCTGCGGGTCTGCGACCCCATCCGACGGCCCATTCCTGCCCAACCCCAGTGCACTGACCCCTGGAAAGCCTGTATTCTCCCACCAGAAACGCTGCCCAGAAAACCAGGCCCGGAGTTCAAATCCTGCCTGAGGTGAGGGACCCCACCACCCTGGGCTGGGTCCTGATGGAAGATGGGAAAGGGGAAAGCTGTGTCCTTTGGTGTGACATGACTGAAATACCCGGGGAGAGAGATTCAGGTGACATACCCAATGCTTGGTGAGCAGGTGCACAGGGCGAGGAGGCACACAGGGGCTTCCTCCAAAGCTCCCCTTTCTACCTGGGGTGGCGTGGCCTGGGTGGCAGGCCCATGGCATGTGTAGACAGCATTGAGCCACTGGGCCACTTGCTCAGGAGCTGGGTGGCTGGGGGCCACAGTAAGGGAGGGTCCATGTCCTAGGAGAGCAGTTTGGCGTGCAAAGACATGGGGGCGGGATCCTCTGCAGCCCTTCAGGCCAGGAGGCTCACAGGACTCTGAACTTAAACCACAATCCACTCCATCGTTCCTGCACCCAGGACACCGGGGATCATTGGACTGGGAGGAGGGTTTCCAGGAGGCACATGCAGAAAGGCCCCACGGCAGCCACCTGGAAGCCCACAGCTTCTGTTTGCTTGCCTCCTGTGACGGGGACAACCCTGTCTCCCACGCCACCTGCCCCACCTTTGTGAGCAGCTGTCTTCCTTCTCAGGTGCGTAACTCAGAGCCAGAGTGAGTTCTAGAATGGTCCAGTTGGCCTGCCCTGGGACACCAGGCCCTCCTCTGTCCTAAAGACTATGGTTTGCTCATGTGTCACTGTACTGGGGCATCGCTCTTGATCACCCCAGGGCACAGGCCGGACGCAGGCAGGGTGCAGGGAGCAGGCAGGGCTCGGGCAGGCCGCCATCCGTTCACACTCACTCCCTCGCTGTCACCCTCGTCCTCGTCCTTCCTGCTTCTCTCTCCGTTCCTTCCTTCTCTCTCCTCCCTTCTCTCTTGTCTCCTCCCAGCTCAGAGCAACGCACCTCTCCACCATCTGTTCAAATGAATGCTGGGGGTTCAGCCTGGGTGGGCCCAGGACCTCACAGGTGGGTGAGCTGTGCCCAGCACTGCCTTTCTGGCAAGGGGAGCAGAGCAGGGAAACAGCTGTGGCACCTGGGATTAGAGAGCGACAAAGTGACGTGAGCCACCACCAGGCCTATGCCCAAGAGGAGGCAAGCCAAAGGCGGAGGACAGTCCCAGTGGCCCAGAGAAAGCAGACAACAAACTGAATAATGTCCACTGGAAGCCGGGGAGGCCTGGCCAGAGCAGACCTGTCATGCGGAATTCACGACCTGAGCCAGACAGCCACACTCAATGGCTTTGATATAAAATGCTACCTTGGAAACATGGCTTTTGTCCAGCTTTGAGAAATAGTTTGGTTCAAGTTCTTCTCTATGTGGCTTTGACGCCTGTGTCACCATCATGGAGACAGCTTTCTCTAGGGCTCAACTTACTCAGAGGGATCCAGAGTCTAAACACTGTCCTTTCCAATCCAAGTACCAGGTACCCTCTGGCCACCGGGTCTGCACCCATGAGGACGGTCAGGGGCCTGGGCTGTGGGTGAGAACAGAGGCCTGCGCAGCATGGCCACTTATTGGGGTGCTCTGAAAGTGACCTTTAAAGGGTCCATGACAGCAGCCACCCACGCCTCCCATCACCAAGTTCAGGGAAATTCTCCTGAGCTGCTGTCTGACAGCGGCCACCTCTGTAGGTGCAGGCCGCTAGTGTCCCTTCCCCATCCAGAAATTTGGGGTTAAAAATTAAGTAACGGAGACAGAGCACTTGTCATGCAAGAAATGAGTAACTCAAACATGAGGCGCCCTTCGGTTCAGACCTGCGATGCGTCTGGGCGTGGCTTCCGGACGTGGAAGCTCTCAGCCGACCTGGAAAAGGGAGCGCTCTGCGACCTGTCCTGTGCTACAGGCAGAGGGCACCAGAGAAGCCAAAGCAGGGGACTCTCTCCGGCCCCGCCCCTTTATCCACACAGCCCCTGGCTGGCCGCACCTCCTACCTGCCGGACAGTCTCTCGGTCTCGCACTCCGTGTAGTGGAGGTAATAACACTTCCCAAGGTCTTCAGGGACGAGCGCGTGCAAACTAGAGTGAGGGGGGAAATTGTTCCGTAATTGGGTCACCCTGGACAGGGGCCTCCGAGGCCGCAGGGTTTCCCTCTGGGAAGCGGAGCCCAGCGGCAGGGCTTCCAGGCCTCCTTCCCTCCCGTGCGCAGCACCGAGGGCCTCGCAAGGCCTGCGGGGTGAGTGGATGAGAAAGAGGAATCCTGTCGCCCCCTCTGCAGGAGCATCCCCGCCTCGTGTTCACTAGATGGAGCTTACATGTCCCCAGGTCCCCCCCCCAACCCCCCAAACAACGCAGCCCCATGCTGCCTCTTGGTTTCTATTCCTCCGCGCTTTGGCCACTGTATTAAGCCATCTTAATTTCTTGTCATTCCCGTCTTCACCACGGGGAGCCCTGTCCACTGTCTGTATCTACGGGCCCCTCTTAGCGCCTGGCACATAGGACGTGCTCAGTAAATATTTTAATGAACGAATGGCTTAGTCAGTTAATGAACAGGGGTTCCCTCCTCCCGATCGTTGGTCACCGCCTAGCGAGTAGGAAAGTCCCCAACCCCACTTGGCCAGCCTTCAAGCCCTTTGCACTAGCCCAGGCGGCCTTCCCTGCGTGCACGTCCATGCCCCCCCCCCCCCCCCCCTTCCCGCCCCCCCCCCCCGGGAGCCGAGCCTGGGCAGAGAAGGCCTTGGCACACAGTAGGCTCCTCCAGGCCCTGGAAAACATGGGGAAGGACCCGCAGGCCCTAGAGCCTGGCGTCCGAGGCGCCCAGCTGCCCCGCGCGCCTTCCCGGCCTGGGCGGGCGCAGCGAGGGCGGGCGGCTCCGCGCGCCTCTCCCGCCGCCGGTGCAAACTTTCAAAAAACGCGGCGGCTGCGGCCCCGCCTTGCGCGAGGGCGGCGGGGGTGGCGGGGGCGGGGCCGCGGGCCCGGGCCGGTGGCTCCGCCTCCTCCTCCCGCCGCCGCCGCCCTCCGGCGCCCGCCCAGCTGCCGCCACCGGCTCGCGGGTGCAGCGCGATGCCCCGGAGCTCGGCCCCGGCCCCGGCCCCCGACCCGCCGCGGGAGTAGCCCTCGCGCGAGCGCGCAGCCGCCGACCTCGCCCCGGAGCCGCGATGGGCAACACGGTGCACAGGACCTTGCCAGGTACGCCGGGAACCCGGCCCGGGAGGCGGGCGCCGGGCTTCTCCTCTCCCCTGGACACCCACTGGGTGACTCTCGGGGAGCCACCCCACGCCCCTCGGAGCCCTCGGCGCGCACCGGGCTGCGGTCTCCAGCGCCTCCCCGAGCCCGGCTCTGCGCGCGCGCCCAGAGGCTGGGCTTCGCGCTCCGGGAGAGCGGGTACAGCGTCCTGGTTACCTTGGGGACCCCCGTCCTCGTTCTCTCCGGCTTTGGCCAGATGCGCGAAAGGGCCGCCGTGGCTATGTCGCGCACCCCCTCGCCTTTGTTCCAGCCCGGAGGCGCGGATGTAGGAGCCTGGGGCGACCGGGGGTGGGGGGGTGAATCTGGAGCCGGGCTCGCCCCGGCTTCCGACGGTCAGAAGCCGCCGGTGGTGCAGAGACCGCAGCTGCCGGGAGTGGGGGAGGTGTGCGCTAGGGTCTCTCAGTTTGCAGGCTGCCAGCGCCCCCGCGCACATGCTGCCTCGCCTCGGCCGCGCTCCCACGCGCACCGGGCTGCGCCCCCCTCTGGTGTCGGCTCAACTGGGGGCTCCTTAACCCTATGGGAGTCGCTGCTGTAGAGCCCTAGAATTTCCCAGACCAGAGTAAGGGGATTGGGAGGGGGCAATGGGGTGGGAGCGTGGAATCAGAGGAGGCCTTAATGGAGAAAGCCTGGTGAGATCCTGGGGAACAGATCCGCGGCCCCAAGGAGGCTCTGTGTCAGCACTTTGCATACCTTACCTGAGCACAGTATGCAAATAAACTTCACTAAAGAGAGATGTATTCTAATTTCACAAATGGGAAAAAAAAATGAAGCTCAGAGGAGGGGAAATGACTCCACCACAGTCACACAGGAGTGGGAGAATCTGGATGGAGTCCGGTTTATCCGTCGGCCCTCCCCCACCCCTCTGTCTTCAGAAGTCTTGGCTGAAAGCTGGGCATTTATAGCATCCTTTGGGTAAAAGGCGAGGCCTGTGTGGGCGCTGGAGGGCGCAGTTGGGCGATTGCCTAGGCTGGCTGAGTGAAGAAGTCAGCCCTAGGTCAGATTTAGTGTGACTTTGCTCACTCTGCTCTGACACCCCCTGTAGTCCTTCATTTAGCGTTAGGTGTCGTATGTCCCTTGGAGGGGACTGAAGTGGAGTTAAGCCCCCAGTCCCAGGCCAACTTATGCAGGAGGGGCTGACTCCTCCAACAGAGCAAGCCTTTGGGCAAATTTTGGGCAACTGCACTGGAACGTTCCAGTTCTTGGAGAAGTGGAGGCACCAGCTTGTCAGTGGCCCAGGAAGGAACCCTGGTGGCTGGCTGGCTGCTGGCCTGTTTCCTCTGCGCATGCTCCTCCGGGGAGGGGCGAGCCCCCTCCCAAACCCCATCGGCAGAGAGGAGGGGTGCTCGCGGGGCACTGGAGGTTCTACCCACCAGCCCTGGGCAGAGGCACTGATGCTCCACCCCTTCATGCAGTTTCTTAAGAAATGTTGATGCTGTTCTAGAGAATAAGCCATTTGCCACTAGTGGGTCAGTCTGGAGCAAGCAGTGGACAGACACACTGAGGGCACGTACAGCTGTCCCCTGTGAAGTCAGCACCGTCCCTCCTGCCTGCACTGTGCCAGGTGTGCGAGATGGGGCGGGTGTGGGTTGGGTGCTCCAGCAGTGTCCAGTGTAGGAGAGTTCTGTGCTCCTGGGGGACTTAGGCTTGCACCAAGTTTGAGAAGGGGACAGACCGAGAATTCCTGAGCCACGTAAGGTTGCAGGTGCCCAGAATATGAAGGGCTCTTTCTTGTTTTTGGATCCATAGCTAAACTCTTGCACACACCATGCTATTTTGGTGCCTCTGTGCTCAGCCGGTGAGCCCTCACACCTGGAATAGCCTTTCTTGTCACCTTCTTTGTCCTCAATCCAGCTGGGGTGGGGGGAGTGGTCAGCTTTCTGCGGCCCCACCCGTTGCTCTGCCTCCTGGAACACCTCAGGTCTCTGCAGTTCATGTGACCACACTGCACTATCTCCATGCTCTCCTGGATCCCCAGGGACAGAGCCCCTGCCTGGATCACCTCCTGGCCCTCTTGCCCATCCCAGAGCCTGGAGCCTGGCGGGGCTTGGAGGCTTGGGGGCGCTCGGCCGTTGCCAGTGTCTCCTGCTGTGGGAACGCTTGCTCAGTCTTGCCCTGGAGAAGCCTGTGCTTCGTTCTCAGGAAAAGGACACATGCGGGGGTTCCTTCTGTGGGACTTGAAATAGAGAGCTGGCATTGCTGAGCACCTGGATTCCATGCCAGCCTTCCTGCGTATTTGGCTTCATTCATTTGCACGCCAAGCACGCGTCTCCTTAAGGCTCCTGCAGGCGCCCATCTCTCTTCTGGAACATTCTCCCCCCAGACCTGAATGCGGCTCCCACTGCTCTCTGCAGGTCTCTGTACCAACGCACATCCTGCCACCGTGCTGGCCTGCCGCTCCCCACCCCCTTTACTCAGCTTTGAGTTTCTTAGTGTGTGTCACCACGTGACAGCTCTCTGTGTGGTGGCTGGCTGCTTATTGTCCATCTCCCCAGGTAGATTTTGGACTGTTTTTGTCCACTGCTGTGTGCTGAGGTCAGGGCCAGGACTTAGTAGGTGTTCAGTCAATAGATGTTGAATGAACAAATGACTTTCATTCTCCCAACCGCCCTGCAATGTGGGGTCTATCATCCCCATTTCATGGGTGAGAAATCAAGGCTGAAAGTTACCTGTCCAAGCCCACACAGCTCTCCAGTTGGCAGAACCAGAATTGAAACCCAGGTTTATTTAGCTCCAAAGTCCTGCATTCTTCTCCAGCACGCAGTCTCTTCCCAACCCATGGTTTAGATAACATTTATTGGGTGTCCCACCATGCACGCAGTGCTCTGCCTGCACAATAAGGAAACGCCAAAGCAAGGGAAGTCCCTTTGTGATGGATGTCAGGGAAGCCCCGTAGCAGCCCTTGCAAAGGGCATCTGCATATTCCTGAGGAGTGTGCAGGGGTCCACATGGGCCCCCGGATCTGCTGAGCTCTTAGAGTTCCCACTATTTCAAAGTGAGGTGCCACTGTCCCCCAGTCCATGGATGAGGAGTCCAAGGCACGGAGCTAGGACCACGGCCCCAGGTCACACAGGCAGTGGCAACGCTAGAACTGAGAAGACGGAGCTCTGTGGTCAGAATGCGGGGCCTCTCCTCCAGCCCCTGTAGCCTCCACCTGGGGTCTCCAGGGGAAACAGAGGTGCGGGGTGGGGAGGCCTTTCCCTTCCTCTCCCACCGGCACCTTCCCACTCTTTTCCCGCACCTTGGGGTACACGGATCCTTCTGATTGGGGAAGAGCTAGATTCAAACTGCGAGTTGGGTTTAATCATTAAGTGTGTCCTCGAGGCCAGGCCAGGCCCTCCCAGAGGCAGCTCGGTGGCAGGCGCCCTGGCGCCCCCGGGGTGAGGGTGTTGCTCTGCTCTCTGCTGGCCCTGCGCAGCCCGGCCCTGCCCACTGTCCACACCACCCTCACAGCAACCCTTTGGAGGGGCTATATTTGTCCCCCTTCTGCAGGGACGGGGGTCCTCACAGAGCAAAGCGGCCCTGGCTTCTAGTCCAGATGGAGAGGGGCCGCACTGCCCCTCATCTGGGCACACGCACCTACCCAATGCCCCTCGCCAGCCCTTCCTCTGGGCCAGGAACCATGTGGCTTTCTATCTGAGTGGGGGTGACACTCCCAAGGCCTAGCAGCCACTGGTCCACTGGGGCTGGCCTTCCTCTTGCAGTGGCCTTGATCACTCCTTATAGCCAAGGCGGGGGCTGCACAGACGACCAGCCTGAGGCTCCCTGTCCCTCTTTGCCCTTCTCTCTCCCAGCGCCCATCTGCAGGTCCTTGGCCTCCTCACGCCCACCGGCTCCCTCCCCCGGTCCTCAGCAGTTACAGCTGAGCCAGCCTCTCTGAGGGACCCAGTGACCTGGTCCCTCCAACAGCCCGAAACCTACCTGGCTGGGGGCCTGAGCAATCAAGGCTCCTGGTGGCCCTGGGCCCCGGGGGTGTGGGGGGGACATGGTGTCAGTGGGAGCAGGAGGAAGGGGTGGGGTCCGTCCAGTGTGACGGCCTTGCAGAGGGGCCTGGAGCCGCAGGAAGTAGCCTTCCCCCCGCCCACCCCTGTGTGGGGTCAGGGCAGGCTCCCTGGGGAGCATGTCTGGAGGGAAGTCCTGCTGTGTATCCACCTGCCCCAGCCGGGTCTTCTCCTGCCTGCTCTGGGGTCCTCTGTGGTTTGTCCTCCTGTGGCCACTGATCCCTTGGGCACATGTGCCAGGCGCTGGGGCTGAGGCAGGAGTGCATGGGCAGCTGCTGGCCACCCCCTGGAAGAAGACAATACACTCTTGGGACGGGGCACACACGTGGGCCACATCCCTGGGGACACAGGCCCTGCTCCCTGTCCAAGGGCACCCAGGGCCCCAGGCACAGCTGGGTCACCAGCACGCCTCCCACTGCGGTCGCGACCAGCTTTAGAAACGTGTCCCCCGTGACGCAGAAGACAAGCGCTGGGGCCTCACGGGCCTTTCCCCTGCGCCAGCGTGGACCGCCTCTCCTGGGTGCCCGGCGGGTGCCCAGGTGGGGGACCGGGGGCTGGACAGCAGGTCGGGCCCAAATGCAGCTGCTGGGCCAGGCTGTGCCTGGGCTCAGACCTCAGCTGTGCCCCGGCCCAGGCGGGACCCCCTGTGCCCGGCTCCTCCCCATATAGCGGGAAGCGAGGGTGGTCCCTGCAGTCGGTGGCCATGAGCTTGAATAGCACAGAGCTGGAGCCTTCAGGGGACAGGCAGGGCAGGGCTGTCACACCTTGTGACCCCTGGGGAAGAGAGGCCTCAGTCCTGCCCGGGGACCCTGGGCACGGCTGGCTGCAGGGGTCCTTCTGGCCTTGCCCCCCCACTGTAAATTTCGAACCTGGGGCTGAATTGGGAGGCCAGCCTGCAGCCACGGTGGATTCCCGGGCCATGCTCCTGCCCAGCCACGTGACCTG